TGTTATCGATCCAGGTAATTGCTTTATCAATGTTGTTGTTATCGATCCAGGTAATTGCTTTATCAATGTTGTTGTTATCGATCCAGGTAATTGCTTTATCAATGTTGTTGTTATCGATCTAGGTAATTGCTTTACCAATAGTCCCACTATTTCTAACCCCACTGATGATACTAATGAAGCTGTCTATGTCCGGTATAGCCTAATTTAAGGTGAAGAGGATGTAAAGTAATATTTCAATAATGACCTTCTCGGAGGTCGTGTGTGCAAGTTGCGCACGTTAAAGATCCCTTGGCGGTCTAAAATCGATAAGAGTAGACTTCGCCTGCCACCTGGGCAAAATTCAAAATTTCCTACCAACCGAAAACGTTTAATGTGTCCCGCGCGCTCATATGACCTTATGCAGTTGTGAGCGCCGTAAAACACTTACCAAAAAAAAAAAAAAAAAAAAAAAAATAATGACCTTCCCTTTGTCTCCCCCAGTACTACGGTGATGATACTAATGAAGCTGTTCATGTCTGAATATAGCCTAATTTAAGATGAAGGGGATGTAAAGTATTTTTCAATAATGACTGTCTCTTTGTCTCCCCCAGTACTACGCTGATGCTAACGAGGCAGAGTCCTGGATGAAGGAGAAGATGCCTCTAGTGTGCAGTGACGACTACGGCAAGGATGAGGCTAGTGCCCAGGTAACTGTTATGTTAAGACTTACTTGTTGAGTCTTGAATCTTGTGGTAGTAGATCTAGATGTAGCTGATGCTAGTGCCCAGGTAACTGTTATGTCATGACTTACTTGTTCAGTCTTGAATCTTGCGGTAGTAGATCTAGATGTAGTTGATGTTGTGGGGCCCCACCTGCCCGTCTTCTGCTAGTTCTTGGTGAGTTGATGTTACTTGCCCGAAGTCATGTGACGTAGTGCTGTGCATAATCGACTATGATATTTGATCGTCAATTATCGCGATGCTCATGATTGAAATCGATTTTCGAGCCATGTTCGATGTCAATCATGGTGGCACTTTTTTACTATACGACCTCAGTTTCATCTTAAAATAATATGAGATTTTACCAAAACTTTACTAGATCTAGATCTAGAGTCTATGTATTGATCTTCAATTCTTTGTAATGTTTATGATTTGAAATTTGAAACAATATAATTTTATGACTGACCTTAGTTTCACCTTAAAATAACATGAGGTTTTACAAAAACTTTATTAGATCTATCATGAATAAATAAATTGAAGATTTTTTTAAAACCCCAAAAACAACAACAAAACAACAACAGCAAACAAAAAAAGCAAAATACAACAAACCCGCCCCCCCAAAATCCCAGCGATTCCGATTCCTGCATCCGCATGGCTTGCGCCCCTGTCCCTCCCACCCTTTCACAACTCCATTTTTTTCGATTAATCGATCGTCGATTTTTTTGACTCTGAAAATCGATCGTAATCGACTATTAACATCTCGATCATTGCACAGCACTAATGTGAGGTGTCAGTCACGTGATATGTCCTTTAGGCCTATGTCACAACAACTATTCTAAAGGTGTGTTCACTCTACACGTCCTATTCTAAAGGTGTGTTCACTCTACATGTCCTATTCTAAAGGTGTGTTCACTCTACATGTCCTATTCTAAAGGTGCGTTCACTCTACATGTCCTATTCTAAAGGTGCGTTCACTCTACGCGTCCTATTCTAAAGGTGCGTTCACTTTACATGTCCTATTTTAAAGGTGTGTTCACTCTACATGTCCTATTCTAAAGGTGCGTTCACTCTACATGTCCTATTCTAAAGGTGCGTTCACTCTACGCGTCCTATTCTAAAGGTGCGTTCACTTTACATGTCCTATTTTAAAGGTGTGTTCACTCTACATGTCCTATTCTAAAGGTGCGTTCACT